TTTAGCCAAAAAAAAAAATATTCGTGCAACATCTAAAGTCTTTTTCACCCCAAAATGTCCCATTAACCCACCACCCTGTGCCTGTTGCACTAGTAGCTCACACACAGAATTATCTGGTACATAGAGTTTGTTCTCTCTAGACAAGTACCCATCAAGTCTATAAAACATTCAAAATGTTGCCTTTGCTCAAGCCTCGTACACATTAGCAAATCATCATCATTAGCATAAAATTCCTCAACATATTCAAATCCCAGCAGCCTTACCTTCGTGATAATGCATCAACCACAATGTTTCCTTACCTCGTTTGTGCTTAATTACACAAGTGAAGGTCTCAAAGAATTCCATCCACTTAGCATGCCTTCTATTGAGCTTACCTTGTCTCTTCAAGTGCTTAAAGGTCTCATGGTTGGTATGTATGAAAAATTCCTTCGACAATAGTGTTACCAAGTCTCCATAGGCTATTGCTCACTTCTCTTGCATCAGAATAGCTCCTATACCTATTCCTGAGGCATCACATTCGGTTTCCAAAGTCTTAAAAAACCAGGTAATGCTAGTAGAGGAACATTACATAAACTTTCTTTAGTATCTTGAAATGCACGATCTTTCTCCATACCCCACTTAAAGTCCATAGATTTCTTGACAATTTCAGTGAGTGGCAAGGCTAGTGTACTGAAAATTTTGACAAGTCTCTAATACAAAATAGTGGAACCATGAAAACACCTCCGTGATTGATGTATTGATGTAGGTGTGGCATTCCTTGATAGCCTTTACCTTTTTCTTCATCCACCTCAATTTCCCTTGCCAACATGTCCAAGAAAGACAATTTGTCCATGCAAAGGGAATATTTTTTTAAAATTGGCATAGAGTTTCTCTTTTCTCAATACATCAAGCACACAATGCAAATGATCATTAAGTTCATCCAAGCTCTTACTATACACCAAAATATCATCATAATATACCACACCAAGTCTACCTTATACCCACAATGCATGATTCATTAACCTCATGAATGTACTTGGCGCATTAGTTAGACTGAAGGGCACGACCAACAAATCACACAATTCACGTTTGGTTTTAAAGGCACTTTTCCATTCGTCACCCTCCATCATAATTTGATAGTACCTACTTTACAAGACCATACAATTCATCTGACATATCATCTAGCCTAGGAATGGGATGTGTATTCTTTATTGTAATATTGTTGATAGCCCTGAAATCAACACACATTCTCCAAGATCCATCCTTCTCAGGTACAAGTAGCATGGGTATTGCGCAAGGACTTATGCTCTCTCTCACATTTCCTTTGGCGAAGAACTTATCTTGCTTTTGAAGTTCCTTTCTCACCTCTGGGTTATTCCTATGTGCTGACCACCATTCCGAATTATCGATCTGTCAAAAAATCAATCTGGTGCTCTATTTGTTTAATGAGTG